CTGAGTTGGAAGACAGCCAGAGCGAGTTTCAAAACAGTACAGAGAAACCCTGTCTCAAAAAACCAAAACAAACAAACAAAAAACCAAAATAACAACATCAACAACAAAAGTGAAGGTCTAAGCTATCAGATGTGGTCTGCAACTCTACAGGGCTAAGCTACCTCTCCAAGATGGCTATCCCCCTCTGCCCTCGGCCTCATCCTAGTCCTCCCACAGCCCTCGACTTCCAGAATTCTAGCAAGGCCTTCATTCTTCATGTTTAAGATGGAAAGACCAGCTTAATTTAAAATACCTAAAGATATAACACAGACCTTCTTCCCAGTTAAATGGTGATACGAACATCTAATCCCAGTACAGGAGGTAGAGGCAGGCAGACCTCTGAGTTTGAGGCCAGCCTGGTCTACATAGTGAGTTCCAGAACAGGGAGGACGACAGAGACACCCTGTCTCAAAATACAAACAACACACATACACGCACAAAAACCAAAACCAAAATGAAGCACAAAACTTAAGAGAACTACCGAATGGTATGGTTCAAGGTTTAACATGGTGATCCACTGCTCAGCAGTGAATTAAATACACACACCAGTGTGTCACTGTGGAAGACTACTAGGACAACGGATCCAGATCCGTTTCTCGGGAAAGAAGAATTAGGCCTTGCACAAAGTCCAGGACTCAGAATGGTTTCAGGTTTCTCAACAGACTCTAACCCACAGCCAGTGTCTCAGTGCCTTCAATTCCAAAAGTCCAAAGGTTCCAAGCCAAAACTCTTACATGCATCAAACATGTGAATAGAAAAAAAGCAATTTTCACGTCAGAAAGGTCTAGACATGTTTACCTCCTAAGTCAGGGTGCCATGAGAACAAACATTAGCAAACAAGAGACCCAGTGCTGGACCAGAAAAGGCTGTTCCCAAGTTACAGCCGTACACAGTCTAGAGCGAGCGGCAAAGGCTCCACTGGAGATTCCCTAGGGAAGATGAGGAGACGCGCTGTCTAAGCAGACAACAGAATGGAACAGTTCTGGTACCTGGTAAAAAAGTGATCTAATCCAGTGGAAAGTTCACTGGAAAGTCAAACCTTCAAAAAAAAAAAAGGGGGGGGTATAAAGGAAGAATATGTAGGAAAAGAAAACCATCAGTCTAACCAAAATCACACAGGAAGACAAACATGCATGATGGGTACGAAGAACAAAAAAAAACAAATCCTGGCAACACACCAAGCGGGCAATACCTAAAACAGAAACTATGACAGCACCATCACGTTACTAAGAAACACACTGGTGGAGCTGGAGAGTGGCTAAGTGTTGCTGGTCTTGCAGAAGGTCCAGTACCCGCATGGCAGTTCATAAGCACCTATAACTCCAGTTCTAGGGAATCCAGTGTCCTCTTCTGGCCTCCATGGGCACCAGGTACTTCCATGGTACACATACACACATGCAGGCAGACACATATATACATAAAATAATCTTAAAAACAAAACAAAACTCATAGACATTCGTTAAATAGAGTCAGGTGGTGATGGTGCGCGAATTGAATCCCAGCACTCAGGAGGCAGAGGCAGGGGGATCTCTGTGAGTTCAAGGCCAGCCTGGTCTACAGTGCGCGTTCCAGGACAACCAGGACTGCTATATAGAGAAACTTTTGTCTTGGAAAATTGAAAAAAAAAAAAACAGTTAAAGAGGTGAACATGAGTAATTGCTTTAGAAGACTGCCCTCTTTAGCCAACAAACTTAGAGAACTATTTGATTTTTCAAAAAGGCATTTCCCTATTTTTCGTGATGTTTGTATTTTCAGCATCAAGCACAGTTCATTAAGATTTTGGCAGAGAAGCATACTGCCACATAAAGTTCAAAAGAAACTCACTACGGGGGCAATAGTCACGATATTGCAGTAGTGACGGACATCATCAGCAAAAAGTGGGACCAATACAAACAAAAAGCCAGAAACCCAAGCTTTTTCATCAGAATGTTTATTAAAAATATAGACTGCCGGTTCTGTGCCTAAGTGTCACTGTGGGTGTGTGCTGACTCCCAAACAGGCTCTTCACAAACACACTTGGAGCGGAAGTTGTAAACAGAAACGACTGCCATTTCAGACACAAGCCCCTCGGAGTCTGACAGCTTGACAGTCCCATCAACACTCACAGAGCTGGGCTCGCGGGCACACCATGACCACAAGACATCTTTTTGCACTTCCCAAATACTTTTATATTTCAGCTATGAAGGTCAGTTCCCAAGGCCCGACGTGTTCTTAACAAGGAGAGTTTTTATGTCCATTGAATCAGTCTTACACCTTTCTGGGCCAATTCATCTGCAGACAGGAGGAGAAACTGTCACCAGGTTCTTCATGCCATGCATCCGCGGGACTCCCAATCCTCATATGCTGTCCAACTTCTTTAAGATATACGGAGCTGAAAGAAAAACCCCAAATTCGGTTTTATTCTATGGCTCCACAGTAAAGGAAGAAGCTTTATGAAATATGGTTTTGGAAACAACTCCCAAACCTCTACTAGGATCACGCTCCCAAGGGATTCCAGCGTGACTCAATTGCCATCGCCATAGAGAACCCCCTTACAACCAGCCTCTTTCCTCCAGGGGTCCTGGACTGTGGGGACCTTGGATTTATTTTGCAGTACTGGGAGCGGAACCCAAGACCTTACACAGGCCAGGCAAGCACTTTCCCAAGGGAAACCTCTAGCTCTGGGGATTTACTCTAACCTAAATAAACAGAATAAAATCCTAACAAGTGAGAATTAGGTTCAATTCCCAATCCTGGGAAAACCAAGGACTGGAAGAAGGCATGGGGTAGGGAAAACAACCCTGAAAGAGCCGACGCCCACTGTTTTCTCTGACCCGACCAGTCACTTGTGCCCGCCCATGCCGGTGTGATAACCGGTGAACCAAGAGCTGTGCGGAATACTAAGTGACATTACTACCACGAGAGATGAGCCAGCTGTTAAACCTGTCTGTTGTCAATCAGGAGGACCTGAGTTCAGATCCCAGCACTCACAATGGCTGCTCACAATCGCCTGTTTTAACTCCAGTTCCAGAGGTTCCAACACCCTCTTCTGGACTGTGCAGGCATGTGGTTCACATACAGACAGGTGGACAAATAAAAAAATTCTTTAAAGAGTGATAAACTGGTGCACATCAGACACAAAGACCATGAAGCTGACGTTTTTCTCGGCAGTTCTTCTACAAGGAAAGGTTAAGAGGATGGAAAAGGAAGCAGTTTCAAGAAGCTGTGGATGAGCAAGATGACTTGGGCGTCTCTCCTGGAGAGGCCAGCAAGACCGAGAACACAGCAGAGGAGGCACCTGAGTGAATGAGGCCTCCACCTCAGCGAATTCCAGGCCAGCCTCTGCCTGTTCTTCACATACCTGAGCCACTCCTGCCTCTGCCTGCACAGCAGCCAGCTCTACACAAGCAAGCAGGGAACAATGAGGACACTGTATTGAGATTGAGGGTCAGTCAATTCTGTTAAATCATTAGAGGACTAATTTTAATTTTTTTTTAAATATTGTCAGACAGTAGTGACACACGCCTTTAATCCCAGCACTCTGGCGGTAGAGGCAGGCGAACTCATCTCTGTGAATTCGAGGCCAGCCTGATCTACAGAGCTAGTTGCAGGCCAGCCAGAGCTACACGGAGAAACCCGGTGTGAACCCCTCTCCTTCCCCCTCAGAAAACCACTATTATTTATTGTGTGTGTTCTGTGGTGTGTGCACGCGAGCTTGCATGCCTCAGTGCAGGTGTGGAGGACAGAGTGCAACTTCCGGGAATTGGTTCTCTCGTGCCACCAAGCGTGGATTCAGCTTGGAAGCAGAGACCATTTGTCAGTCTGTCTTTAACCCTCATGTGCCCCTTGAACTCAAGCTCTCGGTTGTAAAAGGAACAGAGATCAACTAACGAAATTAACTTTGGCGCAATGGTGAAATCAAATACTTCAGGTATTCTCGGGAGCTCCTCAGACGCCCATCCTTTCTCTTTTTGGAAAAAGGAAAACCAACTATTTATTTCACCCTCTGTACAGGTAAACACAAAGAAGGAAAATCTTTTCGGATTTTAAAGGCGGCAAGAAGAGAAGTGCCTGGTACCGAGTAAAAGGTCGGGATTCTAGGTCAGGTTTATTCTGAATCGCCAAAATGACCTTGGGTTAGCCACTTCCCAGGGACCGTTTCTAGGTTTGCTAAAAGTGGGTATTGCTCAAGGGATAACACCTGAAGGTCCTTAAGCACAAACGTGGGGCGAGCAAAGGTGACTTAGCCATGCGCCCTCGGCCACCACGTGCACTGGGCACATTCTCAGGACCCGCAGACCTCTAGAGGGCACGCAGTTCGGTCGCCCTGGACATGCAGGAGCCCTCCAGCCTGCCCTGCTCTCCCCAGGATGCTCAGCTCAAGGCCCCACGACCGCGTGCAGGGCTGGGGTGGACGCGTGGCCTCACGGCCACAGTCCCAAAGGACACTCACTGACTCGCAGCAGGGCCACGTAGATGAGGAAGTTCCGAATGGAGGAGATCACATCCTCGCGCATCTTCCGCTTCATCTCCTCAGGGTCCAGCTTCGGCGCGAGACCCTCGATCCGGAACATCGCGGCTCTTTCTCCAAAGCTTGCAGGCGCTGCACCTTGCCCTCCTCCAGCGGCCGCCTTGCACGCACCCGAACTCAGCCAGACACTACTTCCTGTCCCACCCCTCGTTTCCGTCCTGCGACGGGAACCGGCGAGAGACAATCCGCATCTAGCCGGCGTGCATCTGAAGCAAAGAGACCAGCAGGGGGCGACCGCAGTCTTAAATCTCAGAGTCTTGGTGAACTGTTTCTTAGTCTGTACCAACTGTAAAGTTGTTTTGTGATTTCCAGTTAGGAGGCGTCTGCACATGGACCACCATAAATAACAATAACTAGTATTTTTAGAGTACCCGAGACAGTATATCGCGAATTGCACATTATAATTTTCATTTTCTAGATACGAAAATTAAAATACACCAGCCTGAAAAAATTTAGTTGAGAATGTAGTTCATTTGCCAAATCGTTTTACTTAACATGCATGAAGCCCTCGGTTCAAGCCCTAGCACCGCATAAACCTCGTGTGTAGCTGCTTGGTTTCTGTGTGATAAGCGCCATCAAAGCAACTTGGAGAGGAAAGGGTTTATTTCACCTAACCTGTTATAGTCTTTCATCCAGGGAAGCCACAGCAGGAGCTCAAACCGGCATCTAGAGGCAGGAACTGAAGCAAAGACCAAGGGGGGAATGCTGCCTTTACCTGTCAGCTTGCCCTGGTCTGCCCAACTACCTTTCTTACACAACTCAAGACCAACCGAGGGTTGGTACTGCCCACCATGGGCTAAACTCTGCTCCGTCAATTAACAGTCATGGCGATGCCCCTCACAAATCCACCAACAAGCTAATCTGGCGGAGACCGGGCCTCAGTTGAAGTTTTCTCTTCCCAGGTGTCTCTAGTTTGTGCCAAGATGACAAAAACTAACCAGCTTAGCGCTGCGCACACCTGCATTTCCCGGCCTCGGCACGAGGTTGGGAAGAAGTTGTAGTTTAAGGTCAAGGCGGGAACGGTGTCACACTCCCTTAATCTCAGCCCCCAGGAGACAGAGGCCGAAGAATTATCACAAATTCAAGACCAGCCTGGGTTACAAAGCAAATCTGGACTAGAGAGGCTGTCACAAAAAAAAAAAAAAAAAAAAAAAAAAAAAAAACTCCAAGATAAACAAGCAATGACCTGCCCAAAACAAAACAAAAAACAGTTTCAAGTTCGTCAGCTAGTGAGTTTCATACCTAATTAGACTTCTAGAACCTGAGAGACTGAGTTTTTGACATTTCCCCGTATCATTTCTGTATCCTCAATTTTGGAGTTAGCTTATCCTTACACATTCTGAGGCAGACCTTGGAACACAAGTGTGAGCCAAATTCAATCTGATTAACATTGTACAGATGAGAGGAAACCAACCGCACTGGCCGAGTTCTCGGACGTGAATCAGCTAACTGGATTTTTTACATAATTCAATACCAGATTGTCTTTTCTTGAGTGCACACTGCATAACATCAATGAGTTGGGAGTTGGGGGTTAAATAAGAACAATCATTTAGTAGAACAAATGATAGTGTTAGCATAACATTCCGCCTTCCTGATTGACAGAGTGTAAGACCCTGGGGTTAGGGAGGAAAAAAAAAATCCTCATCTGTGTACTCAAGATTTAGTAAACATTTGCATCTGTAACTCACACCTTGGACTAGCAGAGAGGCGGCTCTGGTGTGGGAGGGGCTGACTCCCAAGGAAGGGCTCCAACCCAGCCTTCAAGGGTTAAAGCAATGCCTGCCACCGCCCACAGAGTCAGGAACAAGTCTCTGTTCCATTGCAACTCCAGTTTTTCGGTAGCAAAGGGAAGGCTTGTGGCTAGATGCTCTAAGGTTCCCTCCCAGTTCTGACAGTCTCTGCATTTTGACCCTAGTTGTATCACAGAGGGCAGAGTAGTTTGGAGTGTGTAGATGTCAATACATCATCACTTGTGGCCAGATAGTGTGCTGGCTAGATTTTTGTCAAGTAGGCACAAGTTTGGGTCATCTGGGAAGAGGGAACTTAAAATGAGAAAATATCTCCTTCATATTGGCCTGTGGGCAAGTCTGTGGGGCATTTTCTTGATGAATGATTGACGTGGGAGGGCCCCGCCTACTATGAGCAGTACAGTTGATTCTAGGTTGTATAAGAAAGCTCGCTGAGCAAGTCAGTAAGCAACATTCTTCCATGCCCTCTGTTTCAGTCCCTGCCTCCAGGTTCCTGCCTTGAATTCCTGCCTTGTTTCCCTTTGTGATGGACGACAGCCATAAAATGGAATAAATTCTTTCTTTCCCAAGTTTCTTTTTGGTTATGGCATTTACCACATGAATAAAGCCAAATTAAAACAGATAACAAAATAGCCATATGTGTATTCTCCAAGGTATGAAAGAATCTAAATAAGCTGATCTTACCACACTTGGTGGCTCATGCCTTTAATCTCAGCACGTGGGAGGCATAGGCAGGAAGATCTCTGAGTTCCAGGCCAGCCTGGCCTACAAAGTGAGTTCTAGGACAGCCAGGGCTACACAGAGAAACCCTGTCTCTAAAAAACAAATCAACAAGGAGATATTCGTCTGAAAAGTGGGTGAAGCAGATTGGGAAGGAAATACCTAATTACATAATTCTGGTAACTTAGACTCCAAACACTGAGTTTAGATGTAGAAATACCTTTTTTTCTTTTCTTTTTTCTTTTTTTTCTTTTGCCTATACTGAAATCCTTTTGAGTAGTTTGGTTTCACAGAACGTCAAAGAAGGTATTAAATTGGCCAAAAACTATGCTCATTGATTTTTAAAAAAATGTAGATATTTAACACTCGAATTGAGTTTATCTAATGCTCCATTAAAGAGGCACCTGTTTATGTCCATGTAGCAAATGGCTGGCCTGCTAAAAGGCAATGTCATTCCTAGATTTATTTCTTTTTATTTTATGAGCATTTTTGCCTGCAAGGATGTCTGTGTGTTATGTGTGTGCTTGGTGTCCAAGGAGGTCAGAAGAAGGTGTTGAATGCTTTGGATCTGCACTTACAGATGACTGTGAGTCTCCTTGTGGGTGCCGGGAACGGAACTTGGGTCCTCTGTGAAAGTAGCAAGTGCTCTTGGCCTCTGAGGCTCCTTGTCAGCGCCAGGGCAGTGTAATTTGTATGAAGAAGCCTTAGGAAGGTCTGCTGGCTCCGCCTCGAGTGAGGAAGAGGCCTTAACTGGCTTGTGCAACCCCATTTCCTAGTCTGGATCTAGGATTGCTTCTTCATCAAGGATGCTCATCCTGGGGAACTTGGCCTCCTTGCCTTTGCGTGGCCCCTGTAACCACCTTGGAGGAGACCCATACCTATTTTAAGCTTTTGGATAATATATACATATTATAATTTTGGATAATATATATATATATAAATTATATATATATATATAATTTAGCATATAGGTGATGGTGTCATCCAATTACAGTGAGGCAAATTAAGAAATACGATGCCTCCAGAAGTCAGTATCTAATGGAGCCATTTTCCATCTTCGACTCCTCATTACTTTCCTTCTCTGGGTGCTGAATGAGTTAAGTCTCATCTTTGAAGTCACTAGTAATTCTCAAATGCTGTATTTCCAAGCTCACCATGTTTTCTGTTCTTTCTGTATAATGAACTAAAACTAAAGGCTAAGAGCAAAGGATTTGCTGTGATGTGCACTGAGAAGCAAAAATAAAGAAGTATGCATACATAATTTAATATTGATATTTGTGTTCTTTAGTTTGATCACAGAGGAAATAGCAGCTGATGTCATAGCCTGTCTTGTTTTCCATTTAGATCCCAGGAGGGACTTAGGAGCCATTACTTTGACTCAATTTCCCAGACAACTCTCATGTAAGCGTTTGAAGTGTACAGCCAAACTGTAAGAGAATTGTTTTAATTTCCATCACTGGGGAGGAGTTTATATGTGCATGGTCAGGGATTCACGGGTGATTCTTGATTGAGAAATTAACACAATATAAAATCTCAGTGTGCTTGTGCTTTGTGTGACTCATAGAAAACCATAAACTTTGGGTACTGAACAGTTCAACTTTTTTTTTTTTTTTTTTAACATTACAGGGAAACTTGGGCCCAGAGAGGGGCTAGTTAAGGGAAGAGTGATCTGGGCGGATCTCTGGCCTCTAGTCCTGCATTTCCTCCCATGGTATCCTGCTAGTGTGAATACTTTCATCGACAGTTCTCCCCCAAGAGATAAGGACAGAAAGAATGGAGGCCCTTTCTGCCTTTGGAAGGGCAGGGCTTACCCAGCAGGGGCCCCCTTTCCACACTCCCACACCCGTGCTGGCTGCTGATCTGGACTGAGTTATTCCACTCCAATTCTGTCCTTCCTCACTCCTCAGGGGAGGGGCGCATCCTAGCACTCCGTGGACAGCTGCTGGGTGTGTTGGGGGCATTCCTTTACCTCTAAGGAGCTGGAAGGAGAAAGATTAGGAGTTGAAGTCCACCCTCGACTTCCCAACAAGTTCAAGGTTATCCTGGGCTACCTGAGACCCCACAATCAAAGAAAACCAAAACCAAAACAAAAATAAACTTGACTTTGAAGTCTACTCAGGACTCAGAATGAATGAAGCAAGGCTCATGACAAGGAAGAGAGGCCTGGACTTTCAGAGACTGCAGTGTGGGGTCGGCCAGACGACTCAGCAGGCAGAGGTGCTTGCTGCCCAGACTGATGACCTGGGTCCCCCACGATGAAAAGACAACTCTGGCAAGTTGTCCTCTGACCTTTATACTTGTGCCTCCAACAGTAAACAAACAAACGAACAAACACTATACAAGAAGTTTAAAGAGATTTTGCTGCTCAGGTGTGACGATGCACACCTTTGATCCCAGCTCTCAGGAGGCAGAGGCAGGCAGATGGGACAGCCCTGTCTGTGGAGTGGGCTCCAGGCCAGCTGGGGCTGTATAATGAGACCCTGTGTCAAACAACAGCAACACGGAGATTGCTCTGGGACAGATGCTTCCAATAGATTAGGTATCATAGTTACAGAAATTACTGCCTAGTGAGAGATTGACATCTCCAGGAAGGGGCTCTTTTGGACCTTAGAGAATAAAGAGAATTTTGATAAACTCCACCCCACTGGCATCTACTCTCATTTTGGTA